ACTTGCTCAGTTTTCCCTGTACTTCCTTGATAGACCTCCGACTCCATCTTTATTTTACACTTTAATTTTTCAGATCTTGATAGAATTTCAAGTTCTTGTCATTTTTATTAACTACTCCTGAATGTGCTAGCTCCTCACGTGACCGGCTCATTTCCGTGGATATTGGAGGTGTTAGGCAAGTTTTGAAATCTGTGTCCTCTACTGTTTCTCCTTTCCATTTTCGAGAATTAAGCAAAATAGCTTTTTTTCCCCCTTTCTTTTTCTTTTAGAGCCCTGCCAAGTCATTGGTTGTTTTTTAGCGAAGTCTTAGACTGTTGGTCATATTGCTGGGCAGCCAAGAAGTTGATATTCTGTTCTCATTTTAATGAAGTGGTGATTCCTACACTATGGTGAATGCACCAAAAATAATACTTTTTGGACATCGTGTTCTTACTCTTTTCAATACCAGCATCTTTTTACATTCATAGTGTTGTGAGCACGGGAACCACCAATTACCTGAACTGTTGCTTCTGTCCCCCTTTTCCTCCATGCCCGCTCATCTCTCCCAATGTCTTGGGGGGTTCTCACCGCAGCAGTTGCCCAGGAGTTGCTTCATCTAGGGTTCAAGTAAGTCGAGACTGTTGTGAGCGTTTGTTTAGAGGAAACTGCTGACTTTCCTTCAGGCTGTGGTACCAGGACACTGAGCAGGGACTTGTAAGGCTCCGGTTTCCTTGTGTGGCTGACTGACTACGGGGTGGAGGTGGGGGGTGGAGGAGAACATTGCGTGCCCACCACAGCCTGTCTTTGTTCTGCCTGGAGGAGAGGTTGGAGGCCGACTCTGACCTTCAGGGCTGTGTGCTCCTTACTAGAAGTCCTCAACAAACACCGTGAGGCCTTTTGTAGTCTCCTTTATCATTCTAGACATTAAGTACTTTTGTTTTAAGCAGTGATTTTCTTTTTTTAAAGGAATGGAGGCAGGTGTGGTGGTGCACACCTGTAGTCCTAGTACTCTAGGAGGCTGAGGCAGTGGGATGGCAAGTTCAAGTCCACCCTGGCTACTTAACTCAATGAGATCTTGTGTCAAAATTTAAAAAAAGGGCTGAGCATGGTTGTGAATGCCTGTAATCCCAGCACTCCGGAGGCTGAGGCAGGAGGATCGCTGTGAGTTCAAGACCATCCTGGGCTACATAGTGAGTTCCAGGTCAGTCTCAACTACATAGTGAGACCCTGTCTCAACAAACAAACTAAAGAAATGTCAAAGATGAATCAAAATTGTGGCGAGTGGCAGTAAACTAGAATTGTTTGCTCATGCCCTAAACTGGAGAGAGTGTCTAGAAAAATATGTGAGTAAATAGAAATATGAAAAATCTCTGCCCTCCAAGGATGAAGCAATATTTTTTATTGTTATTTTTGTTTTACTTTGTGAAGTATCTTGCTGTGTAGTCCAAGCTTGCCTTGAACTTACTATGGAGCCCAGCCTGGCCTTGAACTTGTGGTGATCCTCCTGCCTCAGCCTCTCAAGTGCTGTGATTACAGGTCTAGGGCACTACACCTGGCTGAAGCACTATTTTTTTTTAATTAAAAAAAATTTGTTTTGGTACTGGGATTGAACTGAGGTCCTTGTGCTTCCGAGACAGGCATGGTGCCACTGAGCTATATCCCTGGCCCTGAAGCAGTATTTTAGATTAAGGAGATCATAACTGTTACTTTTCTCATTGCTGAGACAAAATACCGGACACCCAAAGTTAAAGGAGAGAAGGTTTATTTGGCTCACAGATTGTAGAGGTTTCAGTCCATAGTTGGCTGGCTCCCAGGTAGGGTGGCATGGCAGAGGGGCATCATGGAGGAGAAACAGTTCATGGTGGGCAGAAGACAGCAAAGCAAGCAAGGGTCAACCACCGCTCTTTCTATCCTTTGTGTCTTATCCAGTCTACTTAGGGTATGTAGTACGCCTTTAATCCTAATGTGTTCGATCCTAGCATTGCACTGCAAATCAATCCCAGCATCACACACTCTAGATCCAGCCACCTCTGAAAAAGGCCCACCTGTGACTGTGTGAGGCTTTGGGGGAACATCTAGACATACACTATAACTATAACATTTTCTTCAAACTATAATAGTTTACAACTGAACTGCCTAAAAGTGTGGTGCTGGGCCTACTGGGATTAAGATAAATAAAACTAAGTGTTTAGCAACTTGTGTAGCAGTTTGGCAGGGTAATTTTATGCCTATTGTCTTTAATAATAAAACACTTGGGATTTTATTTTTTGTGTCATTTCTCCCCCCTAGATATTTAGTTTAATTGTGTCTTTATTGTTGTGGGGCCGGGCATGGTGGTGCATGCCTATAATCCTAGCACTGGGGAGCCTGAGACAGGATTGCAGTGAGTTCAAGGTTAGGCTGGCCTATATAGTGAGTTCAGAACCACCATGGACTACATAGCGAGACCCTGTCCCAAGAAAACCAATCAGTAAAGAAATAATAAAATTGTTGGTTCACTGGGCTGGTTTCCAAGCATGTGGCAGGCCTGGGTTCCATCCCCAGCACCACACACACACACACACACACACACACACACACACACACACACATCCCAGTGGAATGTCGTGCTGTTGTTAGAGCCCATTAAAGGTGATGGTTGGAAGAACAGGACAGAAAGTCCACTCACATAAGGACAGTACAATCTCCAGTACAGTATGTACTGTACATTCTAAAAAATGGACTCTGTTGTCTTTGTTGTTGGTTTTGATCAACAAAAGGTATTTTCTTCTTAAATCTGACTCTAATTGTTTTTGGTTTTGGCTTGGCCCTTCTCTAGAGGGACAGACTTTCCTCTTGTGCCGTGTGAGGTTTGGATGTAGTTTCATGTGTCGCAAGCCTGGCCCCAGTGTGGTGCTCTTGGGAGCCACCGATAGCTGTCCTCATATGGGTTTGAAGTCAGTCTTTTGAGATTCCAGTTGGCTCTCCAGAGGGAGTGACTGTACAAGAGTGAGGCTGGCTCCTTCCTGCTGTCTGGCTTCCTGGCTCTCTCTCACTCTCACTCACGCTCCTGCCACCATGCTGTGGCCCTCTGTCCTGACAGGATGCAGCCTTGGAGGCCTTCACCAGAGGCTGGACTGAGGGAACCACTCAATCTTAGACTGTGCCTCTACTACTGTGAGCCACAGAAACCTCTTTACACATTACCTAGCTTGGGCATTTAGTTATTACAGTGGGAAATGGACAAGTACGGTGGGGAGGGCCTGTCCAGGTTGCTGGAGTCCGGGGAAATGATCCTGGCAGTTCCAGATCAGAGCATGCAGGTGATAGGTGGGAAGCAGTCTATCCACACTGACTTGTAGGGCTGAGGATTTGGTTTCTGCAGTTGACCCATTACAGACTGTTGGTAGAAGGTTGTAGTTACATGGGGAATAGATTTTGTTAAGTATTTCTGTTGAGCTCACTGGAGAAGAATGATTCTCTCACCATATCACCCAGCATCACCCTTATGCTCTGCATATTATTGCTGCTTTCTTTTTCTTTATTTTGCTCTTGGATGACTGTCTGTTCACTTTTGTCAGTGCTCCATCTTATCCTAGCACTCAGTCATAACTATTGTTTGTAAGTACAGAGCTTCTGTGGTTCAGCTCCTCCAGAGAGTCAACCTCCTCCCTATGCCAGGTTAGGGGGAGTCATAGATCTGCTGTGGAAGAGAATTGGGGAGCCTTGTGGAGACTGAGCTGGTTCCCTGGACAGCTTCATCTTGCATCCTGGTATTTGTAGGCGCCTCTGGTTTCCAGGGTTCCACTGTAGAATCTCTGCTCTCTGTTTCTGGGCTGGCCTCTGACGGTTCATATGTTCAATCACGTACTTACCTGTACTTGTGGAATGCCTGTGAAATCCCACGTACTTATATATGCCAGGAGAGCATGAAGAGACACCCTCTGGACACTCTGGGGCCCAGGGAGCATGGGCAAAGGGCATCTGACTCTGGTCTTACAGGCTGTATAGGGAATAATGGTGCCAGGTGCCAGGCGTGGTGGCACAGCCCGGAATCCCAGCACTCTCAAAGGTTCAAGGAGGAAGATTGCAAGTTTGAGCTCACCCTGGGCAATTTAGTGGTTTAGGGAGACCTTATCTCAAAATAAGGAAATGACCATAATATCTGTCATCTCACTGATCGCTAGGGTTGATCCGGCTTATCTGGCTGGCCAGGCGGTGTCCCCTTCCTCCCTCACTGCTCCTTGTGCATCGCCCTTGTGTGCCCGTTGGAAGAGGTCGGCCTTGTCCAATGAGCGAGTAGCTCTCTGCTCTGCTAGAACCTCTAAACAAGCTCTCAAAACAGAAAATGGGCTGGGAATGTAGCTTGGTACAAAGGCCCTGGGTTCAGTCCCTAGTAACACACACACACAGGAACAATGGTTTTACTCTGAGTGAAGCGGTTCAGATCATGGTTTTGCCCCTCTTTCTTCAGCCATCAAGCAGAGGTGCAGTGCAGCCTGAGCTCGAGTGAGATGCCTGTGTTCTCTCCTTGGAGCCAAGCCTTGCACCGCCTGCCCACTCACCGCTCATCCTCAGAATGTTTGGTAACAATCTGGTCTGATCCTGCTTGCTTTCCTCACCTTGTCCTTGTGCCTTTGAGTCTTGTGTTTTTTCTTTTAGTGGAGTCTTGAGAGGAATTGAAGATAAACCCGTATGTTCCATCCGTCAGTTTATTTTATTTTTTAAATAGTGGCAAAAAGGGGAACTATTTATTATGTATAAATCCAAGTTTACAGTATAACAAACTAGAAAACAGTGGACAGAAATCAAAGAAGTTTAAGAAATCAAAGAAGATCTAAATAAATGGAAAGATATAGTATTTTTTTGGAAAGATATAATATTGTTAAAACAATTCTAATCAACAAACAGGCTCAACACAATCTCAGTCAAATTTCAGCATAGCCACAAAGATCAATGGAACAGAACAGAGTCCAGAAACAGAACCATGGGAACATTGTCTATAACTTTTTTTTTTACAAAAATGTAAAATAATGGAGAAAGGATATTCTTTGTCAACAAATAATGCTGGAAGTGTATATTTAGAACACATCAATAAATTTTGAGTAATTCTTTACTCCTTATTAAAAAATTAAGTCAAATGGATCACAAACTAAAATTTCTACAAGAAAACAGGAGCAAACCTTTGTGACTTAGGCGGAGTTGTTTTTTTTTTTTTAATCATGTCAAGTGAACACTGCAGATACTTAATCCAGAGATTTACAAGTGATTTACTAAAAAACACATTACATTTAAACTTTGGATGTCTCCACCTGCAAATGTATTCTCTGGAAAATTTGAGGAAATAGTTGACATCAAATTTTTCATAATAAATATTATTTGTACCGTTCTCCACTACATGAGAAACTGTCAGAGGATTTTCAGAATAGGCTTACATACGTAGGATTTGTCCCCATTGTGAAATCTTTCATGTATTTGATAGTGACTGTGTCTTCTGAATGCTTTCCCACATTGCTTTACGCACGTAGGGTTTCTCACTAGTGTGACTTCTTTCATGTCTTTGACAATATTGGCGTGTACTGAGTCATTTCCCACATTGCTTATGCAAGCAATACATACATAGGGTTTCTCCCTGTTGTGGGTTTCTTCATGTACTTGACAATAACTATGTGTAGAGAAGCTTTTCCCACACTGCTTACTACATACATAGGGCTTCTCCCCATTGTGAGTTCTTTCATGTCTTTGACAATGTCTGTGTGTAGTGAAGGCTTTCCCATATTCTTTATATCATGGGGTTTATCCCCAGTATGACTTCTTTCATGTATTTGACAGTATGTGGACTGAATTCCCACATTGCTTACACACGTATGGCTTTTCTGCCCAGTGAATTCTTTTATGTCTATAAAGTGAACTATTACCGATGAATGTCTTCCCACATTGCTTACATACATGCTACGCTTTTCCCCAGTGTGACTTCTTTCATGTATTTAACAATGTAACTACGTAAACTGAATGCTTTCCCACACTGCTTGCATACAAATGGTTTCTGACTGGTGTGAGTTCTTTTATGTTTGCCAAATGAAACATTAGAAGCAAAACCTTTCCCAAATTGTTTACATACATAGAGCTTTTCCCCACTGTGAATTCTTTCACGTATTTGACAGTAACTGTGTGTAGTGAAGGCTTTCCCACATCGCTTACATATGTATATAGGGTTTCTTCCCAGTGTGAGTTCTTTCATGTATTTGACAACTAGTGTGTGTACTAAAAGTTTTCCCACGTTGCTTACATACATACTGATTCCCCCCACTGTGATTTCTTTCATGGATTTGAACATCCCTGGGTTTGCTGGAGGCTTTCATACTTTCCTTCCATACAGTGGTCTTCACTCCAGGGTGAGTTCTTTCACTAAAATCAGAGTAGGTTTTGCCACACTGCTCATATCGATAGAGTTTTTTTTCCTGCCGTAGTCCTTGCATGCTTCTGAAAGGACTGGAAATCACCTCAAATTCTTCCATCTTCATTACGTTTATGCAGTGTCTCTTCAAATCCCAAATACTCAATATGTCTTCAGTCTGGTGTGAGCCCCGATGGGCCCATTTAGTGATAAATGACCAATTGGGGATTTTTACAAGCTAGGCTTTCAGGTGGTTTTAAATCAGTTTGCTTCACGTTCACTTTAGCATCTTCAGTCCAAAGGAATATTTCTTCACGTTGATTCCAAGCGTTATGTTTACAGCATTTCTCTACCTCTTCGTTTCTTAGATTTTTCCTGTTCCGTTCGTATTCTTCGCTCTGCTGGTTATCCCGGGTTCTTCCTACAGCAGTCATGTACATAAAGTTTTCCCCCATCACGTCTCTGCAGAGCTTCTTTTGGGATGGATGCAGCAATGCCCACTCTTCCACAGTGAAGTTCACAGCCACATCTTCAAAAGCCACTGCCTCCATTGTGAGGCTTGAGGGTTTCCCAGTGTCCTCATGCAGCCCCCAGACAGAAGTCACAGAAGTACATCTGGGCCACTTTCAGAAGTGCCCCCTGGGCACGCAGGGAGACGGGGTCCAGCAGCCCCTCCAAGGGCTGCCCCGTGCTGGTCCCGGGTGCTGCTGCACATCGTGTGAATGAGTCCTGTTCTGCTAGACACTGCGGCCCAGCCTGATGGGTGCCTTGGGCTGGGGACCTGGGTCCAAGCCATCAATTTAACTTGAAGCCATAGGCTTTTAAAATCAAGTTTATTGGTGCATTTTAGGTATACAATATGATGACATTCATCATTGGGAATTTGTGCCTTTACGTGATGTGTCTTGGTTCTTATTTTGAAGCCATAGGCTTTAAAAAATTTTTTTGTTGTTTTATTTTGATTTTTCAGTGCTGGAGACCAAACCCAGGGCTTCAGACATGCTAGGGAAGTGCTCTAGCACTTAACTCTGTACCCAGCCCTGATTGAGTCATTGATTGAGGCAGAATCTCATTATATAGTCCAAGGTGGCCTTGAACACACTAGTGCAGACTGGTCTTGAAACTGCAGCCATCCTCCTGCCACAGCCTCCCAAGTGCTGGAACTACAGGCATGCACAGTTCCAGACCTTATTTTTTAAATTAGCATAGATAAAAATGGACCGTATAGATTTATGAGTTTTAGCACATGGGTAAGAGTAACCCTCACAATTCTTCTGTACCGTCTCTTTGCAGTCACCTTCCCTTACCAGTAACCATTGATCTATTTGTTCTCTGTCGTACAGTTTTTCTTTTAAGAATGTTGTAGAGGGGCTGGGGATTTGGCTCAGTGGTTCCGCCGCCTGCCTCGCAAGCACAAGGACCCGAGTTCGATCCCTGGTACCAAAAAAAAGACTGTTGTGCAAGTGGAATCGTAGAATAAATAGCCTTTTGAGACTGGCTTTATTCAATATAATGCCTTTGAGATTTGTTCATACTGTATGTATCAGTGGTTATAAGTAGTAATCCATGATATGCATGTACCACATTCGTTTACCAGCTAAAGTACATGTAGCATGTTTTCAGTTCCTGGTGACTGTGACTAGAGCTGCTGTAAACATTTGTGTTCAGATTCTATTTTATTTTATTGATTTGTGAGACAGGGTCTCCCCATGTAATTCATCCTGGCCTTGAACTCGCTGTGCAGCTCAGGCTGACCATGAACTCGTGGCAGTCCTGCCTCAGCATCGTGAGCACTGGGGCTACAGATGTGTACCACCATGCCCAGCTGTGTACAGATTTTAACGAGAACATCCGTATTCATTTCTCTAGGTAAATGTAGGAGTGAGCATGGTTGCATCTAATGGGAAATGAGTGTTTGTCTTAAAACAAAATTTGTATCATTTTGCATTCTTATCAGCAGTTATTTATTTCACATACCCATCAGTACTTGTTATTGTCACATTATTTGCCAGACTTAACCTACAAATGGTAACTTTTTTTTTTTTTTTTCAGTACCAGGGATCAACCTCAGGGCCTTGTGTGGCACCACTGAGCTAAATCCCTGGCCCTTGTTTTGTATTTTTGAGACAGGGTCATACCACGTAGTTCCGGGTGAGCTTGAATTCAGTTTGTAGGAACTCACAGCAATCCTCCTGCCTCAGTTTACAAAGTGCTAGGATTACAGTGGCGTGCACCACATCCTGTCTTATGTATGTACTGGGAATCCAACTCGGGACCTTGCACTTGCTAGGTAGGCAGCATGCTGCTGAGCTATATCCCCAGCCTCCTTATTGTGGTTTTAATTTGCATTAAATGGCTTAACAGTGTTGATTATCTTCATGTTTGTCATCCATGTTTTCTTTGGTGAAGTGCCTGTTCAAGACTTCTGCCTTTTTGTGTGTGTGTGTGGTACTAGGGATTGAACCCAGGGCCTTTACACTGAGCTACATCCCCAGCCCTTTTTACTTTTTTATTTTGAGACAGTGTCTCACTAAGTCACTAAGATACTTGAACTTGAGATCCTCTTGCCTCAGCCTCCTATTCCCATTTGTTTAATTGGATTGTTTGGTTCCTGTGGAGCACTGAGAATTTATTTGTACAGTATATTCTGGATCTAAGTCCTGCACTGGTATTTTCTACAATTCTGTACTCTGTCTTTTCATTTTCCTTTCTTTTTGGGGTGGGGATTGAGACAGGGTCTCACTGTGTAGTTGAGACTGACCTGGAACTCACCCTCAGTGATCCTCCTGCCTCATCCTCGAGTACTGGGATTACAGGCGTGCACCACCACACCCGGACAAAAAACCTGCACATGAAATTTTTTTTTTTTTTTGTACCAGGGATCGAACTCTGGTCCTTGTGTTTTTGAGGCAGAGGCGGAACCACTGAGCTAAATCCCCAGCCCTATTTGTTCATTTTCTTAATGGTATCTTTGTGTGTGTGTGTGGTACTGGGGATCAAACTCAGGAGGTTGTGCTTGTGAGGCAGGCGCAGTGCCACTGAGCTAAATCCCTGCCCCTGCGTTATCTTTTGCAGAGCAATTTTTAAAATTTTGATGAAGTCCAGTGATACAATTTTTTTGTTTTATGACTTGTATTATTTCTCTAAAAATTCTTTGGCTAGTCCCAAGCCATGAGGATTTCTCCCTGT